ATTATTGATTCTGTGGGTCATTTGAACACTATGGTCCATGGTATATGTGATTCTGTGGGTCATTTGAAAACCGAATGAATCTTACACATCGACCGTTTGTGCGTCGATCCGTGACCAAAACGGATTCCGCTTTTCGTACCGACGCGACGTGTGACGATCAGGCCTCGTTCCCCAAGCCGGAAGAGTGGCAGGAGCGGGGCGTTGACTGTCGAACTCGGTGGTCCGGGTTCGTCCCGGAGGGAGGCCCGGAGTCACGGCCCAGTCACGGCCTTCCCTTTTGGTTTGGAAGGTCAGTAACTTTTTGTTGGGCAAACCTGTGCACTATTCTTTTTTTACGCCCAAAGGCCTAAGGTGGATATCATTGAATGACTTAGGATGTTTGCGGGGGCGTAGCTCACATTTTTGCCACGAAAAACGGCGTTTGAATGATATGTTTTGTGTGAATCCTGTACTGAAACTTCTCCACTCGTCATCGACCTATATCATCCTATATCAACCTCCAGGACACCGTAGGGTCTAAAACACCAATCCCTTACATCAACATTTGGTAGTGGTTCTGCAGTTTCTGCAGCCACACATTTCGGGCTTGAACATGGGTCCAAGCTGCACCAGGAGTGGGAGAATCTCAAAGGCCTCTACCGTCGGGTAGCTGAGCAGCTTTTTCACGGACGCAGTGAACTATAGGGAGACCCGCCAACCACTGGCAATCTCAATTTCTTACTGGATCCAGAGGTTGGAGACCCGCATTCAAAAGTTAAGGATTTCTCTTTAAATCTTTTTAAGGATCTTCCAAGCATGTTTCCAATCCTCCCAGAGGTTTGGCTCTCCCTGGTTACCCAGGTGTCAACCCGTGCCGGGTTGCAATCGACAAGAGTATCAACTTCTCGCCTTTTACAGAAGTGACCCTCACCATCATGGGGACCTAGGCCCAAAAGTTTGCTGTAGTCTTCTTAGAAGACAAGAAAGCACATGAAAGCTGCGCCCAAGGTATTTGCTGCAGTGCTGGGGATCAAGAAAAGAGTTTCCATACCGCAGCTGAGGAATGAGCTGTTGAACAGGGACGTTGGTTTCTTTGTCCTGCAGATCTTCCACCCCCCAAAAACAGATCCCTCCCCCTTCCAGACCCGACCGATCCAAACATCGAAAACGGCCGGTCCGCTTCGTGGGATGCGCGGGATGCGCTCGAGTCCATCCGGCGAGACGCTCTCCATCCTTCGGTGCATGGGTGGCCTGAGGTGAAATGGAAGCCAAAGGCATGAGTTTCCCGGGCATTTTCACCCGGGAGCAATCCCAGCTGCCGGGCAGCGGCACCCAACGGGTGGGGCGCAATCGGACGAGGCGAAGCGGGCGAAGCGGAAGGAAAAAGAGTCGTGGAAAGCGTGCGACCTGTGGAGTTAATGGGGTAGTTGAAAGCATGGTCACCATGAATCACAGATGGTCACAGTGATTGTTCAATCATTCTGAGATGTATGCATCAGCGTGCATGATCCATCAAAAAATGTGCATCACATTCGAGCCTGGGTGAAAAACACCACGGCCAGGTCAGGCAGTGGATGCATGGTCCATATGATTATCTAAAATTTCACCAGATCCTGGTTCCCAGGGCCTTTTTCTTACCACACCTGAACAATACATACATTTGGCATCCTCGGCATTTGCTCGGCTTACAAAAGATGTTGTGATTTTGTTTGGTGGAAGGAACTTGAAGGAACACCCTCTTTTGGTCACATACATTAGCCTGACTCAAAAACAATACAGCCGAGATGAACCTCTTTGGGCATTTTCACGAAAGGCAGCTTCGCTTCCTGTCTTCTTGCTGTGACTTAGTCTGACACTGCCATACAGAAGACCTTGCAGGGAAACAACCTGTGCCCAACAAAGACGAAGGCCAGGGCCCCCAGGGAGGCATCTTGCAATCTCTTGATTTTTGTTGCATCGCTGCCATTCCTCGGCCATTTTCTCAGCCCAGCGATCTTGCCAAAGGGATGCCACCACGGACACGTAGTCGGGGCCTTGGATCTGCAGTGCACTTGAGTGTTCTTTTCAGCTCAACTTCCCCCC